AGACACAATTAAGTCCACAACAATCTTTCATGAGGTTGTAGACAGCTGTTGACTGGGGCTGCCGTTGCATCTGACAGACTAGCTGAGGCCGGATGACCTTCCAAGCTCCCTCCTGTGGTTACTGGAAGGCCTCACAGTTCCTTGCTGGCTGATAGCTAGGGATTTCAGTTCCTGCCATGTGGGCTTCTCCGAAGGCAAGCCAACTGATGTCATGACATGGCCACTGGCTTCTCCCAGAGCTAGTGATCTGAGAGGGAAAGGGGGAGAGGGAGAAAGAGCACCCAAGATGGGATATTCAGTCTTTTTACAATCTAATTTTAGGACCATCACTTCTGCATATTCTATTAGTCACACTGACCAACCCTGGTAAAATGTGGGAGAGGACCATACAAGAGTATGAATACCAGGAGGTGGAATCATTGGTGGTCATCTTTGAGGCCGGCTACCACAGTTGTACCAAAAATAAAAAATCATGTATTCTGGGGCGCCTGGGTGACTCAGTGGGTTAAACCTCTACCTTCAGCTCAGGTCATGATCTCAGGGTCCTGGGATCGAGCGAGCCCCACATCGGGCTCTCTGCTCAGTGGGGAGCCTGCTTCCCCCCCTCCCCTGCCTGCCTCTCTGTCTACTTGTGATCTCTCTGTCTCTCTCTGTTAAATAAATCAATAAAATATGTTTTAAAAATTCATGTATTCTGAAAAAATTTGTGTATTTATGTTACTTAAAGTATTCTGATCAGTTCATGGAATATGATATTAAAGATTAAAGTATTTTTAGTGACTGTGATAAAGATTATGCTTTCTGGGGTTGAGTTATTTTTACCAAAGAGACTTTTGAAGTTCTTTGTCAAACAAATTTGTAAATGTTGTGAAGATTAGTGCCCTCAGGTGTATCCTAAATAAAAAGCACCAGAAGTCAGCATAGTAGTCAAGTCCAGCCTCTAATGCTAAAATGCCTACGTTTTTTGTTTTGTTTTTTAGGTTTCAATAAATTTAAATCAATTTTATTGGGATATGATTTACATATAATAAACTCTAAGTATTTAAAAGGTATAAACTTCCAGCTACAAAATAGGTAAGTCACAGAGATAAAAAGTGCAGAACAGGGAATTTTAAAATATAATAAATTTAAAAAGTTACACTTCAGTGAGTTTTAACAAGTGTATATTCTGTGAAACCACTACCAATGATCAATATCCAGAACATTTCTGTCACCCCCCAGAAGTTCGCTCTATCAGGCAAACACTGATCTGCTTCCTGTCAGTATTGTTTAATTGATATTTTCTAGAACATTTTACTGGTCCTGTTTCTGTGGAGAACCCTGACTAATAGTCTTGAGTCTTAGTCCAATATTTTCAAAACCAAGTTTGAAATATCCAGCAGGGTATACTGTTAGAAGTTCCAACTTTGTAAGTGCCAAGTGGATTTTTTTCCCATTTTATTCATCCATCGACTTACTCAGTCAACAAGAACTTATAGGATGTCTATCACGTGCTAGGGAGGTATGCAAAGTGGGGTTCCGGCCTCAATTCACTGAGTAGTAGAGTCAGCAGATACGGTACAAAAATTAAGCATCACCATTCTGTGACAGGAGTATAGGGAAGAATGGTAGTTTAGAGGGCGTGGTGGTGCACTCTGCTGGGGTGAGAGTAGGGAGCTCCATAGGGAAGACTTCATGATCAGTAGGCTTGACAGGGAGGGGTTCACCAGGTGAGGTCACAGGAGCTGTTGGGGGAAATATTTTCAGTGAAGCAAAAAACATGTACAAAAGAAGTACATGAAACAGCTGTGGTAATTAAAGTGGCTAGGTATTCAGAGATTGCAAGGGTTAATCATGAATTCCAAATATGATGAAACTACAGTTATTAAGGTTTCCAGTTTTCCCTCCCCGTGTGCCTTTGTCCCTTTCCCTCTCCTGCCCTCCATGGAGATCTTTTTCTGTCTCTACAGTTGGAGATAAAAGGGAGGGAGGGAGGGAGGGACGGACAGATGAATGGATGAATAATAATGAGGAGGAGGAGAAACAACTAGTTTTTTTTCAGCGTGCCCTTTGTGCCAGACCCTAGTCTAAGCATTTTATATGCACTGACTCATGTAATCTTCACGACCACGTGAAGCAGATGTTTTTCCCATTTTACATAGGAGAAAGCTGAAGAACAGAGATTGAACACATTGCTCAAGTTCTCGTAACTTGTCAATGCCAGAGTCAATATTCAGATTCAAGCAGCTTATACTGCTTATATATAAATCATACACACACACACATACATACATATATAGAGATGGTGATATAATTTAATATAAGGAATTGGCTCACATGATTATGGGGCCCATGAGTCCCAAGCTCTGCAGCTGGCAAGCTGGGGAGCCCAGAGATGGTCTATCTCCAGGCTGAAGGCTGGCAGGCTCAAGGCTCAGAAAGGGCCAATGTTTCCCTTTGAGTCTGAAGGTGGCAAAAAACCCATGTCTCAGCTTCAAGGTAGCCAGGCGGAAGGAATTCTCTCTTATTCAGCATTTTTTGTTCTATTTAGACTTTTAACTGATGAGATGAGGCCCACCCATGTTAGGGCAGGCAACTGCTTTACTCAGTCTATTGATTCAAAACATCAGAGACCAGAAACACCATCCAACACACCCCTGCTCATGTCTGACCAGATGGCTAGGTGCCCGTGGCCCAGTCAAGCTGACACAAAACTCACAAGGACTAAAGCCTGTAGAGAACTGGTAGCACTTCATGGAGGAGAGAGTTAACACTGTAAGATTTTGCAGGCCAAGTAGGAATGGCTAATAAAAAGAGGGGCTGGGGGGGGGGGTGCGCCTGGGTGGCTCAGTGGGTTAAAGCCTCTGCCTTCGGCTCGGGTCATGATCCCAGGATCCTGAGATTGAGTCCCATATCGGGCTCTCTGCTCGGCAGGGAGCCTGCTTCCCTTCCTCTCTCCCTGTCTGCCTCTCTGCCAGCTTGTGATCTGTCTGTCAAATAAATAAGTAAAATCTTAAAAAAAAAAAAAAAAAAAGAGGGGCTAGAACATTTCTTTAGAAGCCATACCAAGGCAAAGGCTACGGGAAGTTAATTCTCATCTGCAGAATGACAAAATTGAAGTAGATGACTTTGAAGCTTCTTCCAGGCCTCAAAGTTCCATTATTTCCTCAATCTGAGGTTTCAAATCTGAGTAAATGGGAGCATTAAGAGAAGTGAGTAACATAAGAAGGTTTGGAGGGAAATGGTATCTCGTTATTTACTAGTTGTATGGAAAACTACTTATTCACAAGATTCTTAATTCTCCAAGAAACGTTACTGGTATTCTACAAGACATAACCTTCTGAAACTGCTTATTTTTTATTTGCTTTCCTTGTATTGTTGGGGGCATGATTTATTATTAGGTCCTTTGGAGAAAATTTTTTCCTTCAATCAGAAGTATGTGCAAAGGAGCTGGTGCAGCCACTCTGGAGGACAGTATGGCGGGTCCTCAAAAAGTAAACAATAGAGCTGCTCTACAACCCAGCAATTGCACTACTAGGGATTTACCCAAAGGATACATAGTGATCTGAGGGGACATCTGCACCCCAATGTTTATAGCAGCAATGTCTACAATAGCCAGACCGTGGAAAGAGCCCAGATGTCCATTGACAGATGAATGAATAAAGAAGATGTGGTTCATATATACAATGGAATATTACTCAGCCATCAGGAAAATAAAATCTTACCATTTGCAATGACATAGATAGACCTAGAGGGTGTTTTCCCAATCAGAGAAAGACAATTATCATATGATTTCACTCAAATGTGCAATTTAAGAAACAGAACAGAGAATCATAGAGAAAGGAAAGGAAAAATAAAATAAGACGAAATCAGAGGGGCAGACAAACCATAAGAGACTCCTAACTACAGGAAATAAACAGGGTTGCCAGAGGGAAGGGGTTGGAGGGATGGGGTAACTGCGTGATGGGCATTAAGGCAGGCACGTGATGTAATGAGCACTGGGTGTTCTATGCAGCTGATGAATTACTGAACTCTACTTCTGAAACAATAATACACTATATGTTAATTAACTGAATTTAAATGGAAAAAAAAAAAAGAAGTACCTGCAAAGGATACAAAGAAGAGGTGGTCAAGGCATGAGTTAAAAATCCTAGACTAGGGGCACCTGGGTGGCTCAGTGGGTTAAGCCTCTGCCTTCGGCTCAGGTCATGACCTCAGGGTCCTGGGATCGAGCCCCGCATCGGGCTCTCTGCTCAGTGGAGAGCTTGCTTCCCCCCTCTCTCTGTCTGCCTCTCTGCCTACTTGTGATCTCTGTCTGTCAAATAAATAAATACAATCTTAAAAAAAAAAATCCTAGACTAAAAAAAAATATATATATCCTAGACTATATGGTGCTCTGGAAGCCGAACGCAGTCAGTCAGGAACGATAGGATGAGGGGAAAGACTGTTTGTTCCAAAGAGGTTAAGGCTGATGAGATTGGGAAAAGCCTATCAGATTTGGTGATTAAGATACTGAGCTCAGGGGCGCCTGGGTGGCTCAGTGGGTTAAGCCTCTGCCTTCGGCTCGGGTCATGATTTCAGGGTCCTGGGATCCAGCCCCGCATCGGACTCCCTGCTCAGTGGAGAGCCTGCTTCCCTTCCTCTCTCTCTGCCTGCCTCTCTGTCTGCTTGTGATCTCTGTCTGTCAAATAAATAGATAAAATCTTTAAAAAAAAAAAAAAAAGATACTGAGCTCAGTTTTTGTTGAGGACTGAAAGTCACCGGAAGCTGAGCAAACGGACTCCTGTGGTTGCCCTGATATGATGACGTTGACGTGGATTCAGAAATCAGGGTATTTAAAATGTTTCTATCAATGTTCAGCAATTTGAGGACTGAGCAGAGAAGGTGGAGGGCTGGGAGGGATAGGAGGGGCATGTCTGGTGCTTGGGTTTGAAGGTTTAAATGGTGTCAGTGGGTTTAAGGATTGCAGCTTGTTAGGAAAAAACAGCATTGACATATCTGACTCTGGGATTTTGTTTCAGAAAGGAGGCAAATGAAGTGAGAAGGCCAGCAGAGGAGTCAGAAGAGGATTTTCAAAGTTTGATCCGTGTTTCAACTTGGTAAGTATGTCAGAGCCCCGCCAGGCTATGCTGATCTTAATATCTTCCCCTCCTAAATCATCATAGATACTTGACTTTGATCAGTTTCAGTCATTAGGGCTCTAGGCTGGGTATTTTTTGTCCCCCATTCCCCCGCCCCCGCCCCGGCTCCACTCTCCATCTGTGACCTGGGAGCCTGACCTGTAAGGTCAGATAACTTCAACGAGTTACCTTGTACTCTGGCTTCAGTTTGATTTGGCTGCTAGGGGACACACGTGTGAGACGGGAGGGAGGGAAAATGTGAGGGAGATGTTTATTCCTCTGGTTCCCTTCCTGCAGAGTCATCTTACTCTCTCCCCTTCCGGCCTCCAGGTGGTAAGAACACCCAGCCTCTTAGCCCTTTGTGATTTCTCTGTACTGTGCCACACCTTTGAAATTGCCTGTGTTACTGACTCTGCATATGCTTTACTTCCTCAAATTACCCAAGTTGAATGTTCCATCTGGAGCCTGTCTGACACAAGTTTTATATAAGATTTCATTATAAAAAGTCGTCATCACTAAAAAGATGCTTGGAACCAGTAGACTAGGACAGAGGTTGGCAAACTTCCTCTGAAGAACCAGATAGTAAATATTTTTGGTTATGCAGGTCATACAGTATCACACAATGTCCGCACTCCCAGACTCTGCTGTTTTAGAGAGAAAGCACCCAGGGATGTTAAATAAATAAAGGAGCATGACTGTGTTTCAATAAAACTTTATTTACAAAGATCAGGAGTGGGTTTTCCTTTTGCCCTATACAGGCTGAGGTTTGACTGATCCTAGATCTATAACAAGCCGTCTTTTGTCCAATCTATGAGAGTGGTTCTCAATCTGGGAAGATTTTGCCCCCTAGGGGATGTTTGGCAATGTCTGGGGACATTTTTGATTATCACAGCTGGAGGAAGGGGATACCACTAACTTTTCTACACAGGGCCGCTCCCCGCAACAAACAAATTACTCTGCCTAAAACACCAGCCTTCCTGAGGTTGAGAAATTTGGTCTTGAGGGTAAGTAGATTGTCAGTTTGCTTACCGTATCAATGTGACTCAGTGAAAAGAATCACAGAATTAATTCTATAGCTGTTTTTTTTTTTTTCCTGGCTCCAGTTTCAATGTTCTTTTACAGTACTTCTTAGAAAACAGATACAATGCATTTAAAGGAAATGTGATGGTGTCCTCACCAAATTTTTCATCCCTCAAATCATTAGGCATATTAATCTACCCTAACTTACTCTTTTTGCTCCTAAGTGTCTTTTGGATAGGTAGTGAAAGTGTTCATGCCTCTTTGAGCAAAATTTTATCTGTCTGTGTATCCTGAAGCTTTGTCTTGGATTTCCTTGGCTTGCTAGTTAAGAGTAAGGACTGCCTGGTAAAAGGGTTACATTTGGTCCAAAGGAGTAATTATGAACATGGTGTAAGTTTGGCAGTAGGTATGTGGAGGTCAGGCTGACAGCGGAGCCTGAGAAAGAGGGTGTGTTGTCTTTGTGTGCAAGTCAGTGGGTGGGCTAGTGGAGGGAGAGGCCGTTAATGAAGGTCTCAAGAGTTAGGAGAGATGGAACGTTTTATTCACAGGGAAAGGGAAGGAAAATGACAGTTGGGAAAATGAATGGTTAGGAAAGGGATATCAGGGGAATGTGGCCCTGAGCTGGTTCTTATGATTATAATCATCCAGGCCTCTGTGTTTCAGACTGACCACCTTAACATTTCAAAAGGGGAAGCAGAGGGAAGGATAAATCTGACATGACTTATTGTACTGTGAGTTTTAAATGAACCTATATATTATCCCCAAACTACTAAACCAGAGCAGAATTGCGACATTTGTATTCCTTGAATTGAACGGTTACTTCTTTTGGCTAATGTCCTTGTTTAATGACAGAACACAAATTTTGCCCCCTCCCCACCACATTGTCAGTTAGTGGACAAGTTGAAGACAAGGACACATGAGTTCTGTGTCTGGGTGACATCATAATTTTGATCAGCTGAACAGCCTGGCAGTGGCCTTGAAGAGATGCTTAACTTTTGGAAATCACTTTTTTATTGCAACCAAAGCTATTAGGTTTAAAGGTCCATAAAGATGAGATAAACAGTCATGAAGGCCTTTGAAATTCATACACAGTGTGTTAAAGGATTTAATCATTGTCCCTTAAATATGGTGATGGCAAAGCCATATCCATACACTGGCAAAAATCAAATCATCGTCTGCTTAATGGGGAACAAAAATTTGGAGAACAGTGGATGAGCTGTTACTTCTATGTGATATCAGAGTTATTTTTGCAAACTCTTCAAGGGAACACCTTGACTTGAGCATCCTGCAGTGGAAAACAGCCATATATCTTTTTATTCTTAAAATTAATTTTAGAGCTCCTGTTTTCCTGGTGGGTACTTTTATCATTGCCTAATTTGTAGATTGACAATCCTTATAAGATTGTAAGATCAAAGCAGTTTAGACTAATTCTGACCCTGAATATGAATGGAAGAAATACAAGCTCTCACTCCACCAAATTGAGCCAATGTATTAATACACAATTTAATATAAAATCCTGGCTGATATTGGGATTTCCTAATTGCCAGGCAATATACTAAACAGTTTACATGGTTTACTATTTTAATTCTCCTGATTAGCCCAGAGGTATGTATAGTGATTGTCACCCTCATTTTACAGATGGAGAACCCTGAGGTATGAAGGCATTACATCATTATTACAACATCACACAGGAAGTGTTGCTGTTGGAGTTTGCACACTGGCAATTTAATTTCACAGCCTATACTTAACCACTTTTTTATACTGCTTTCCTCCTCTATGTTTTTGGCAGTGAATATGAGAAGGTAATTTTGAAGGCATTATGGTACATTAGATATTAATAATCCAGTAATAAATTATCTGTCTATAGTACAAACAAGCTCTTTGGTTTTGGGGAAATCATAGAAACTTGTGTCAGTAAAATGAGGATTGTTCTGAGTGGTTTCTAAAGTGTCTTTTCTACTCTTAGCAGGATTCCAAGATAATGTGATAGACTTTTTAAAATCATATCCTTCAATCAAATGGTCATCCTTTTGGTATTTAATTATTTGGAATAGACACTTTCCAAATTTGGAATAATTTCCCAGTTCTTCTTTGACTTCATTGGTTTAGATATTTAGATGGAAATAGAAATTCCACAGCAAAAAGGGAGACTATTGTATAAGTCATTCCTCTTTGTTAAAGGGGTGTTTGGCCCGTATAGACAATTAACAGAATTTTGGAACTGTAAAGGGCCATGATCTAACCCATTCACATGACAGATGAGGAAGCTGAAATCCAGAGAGGTTCAGGGACATGTCCAAATTCACAAGGCCAGCTCAGAGTAGAGCTCGCTACACTTGTCTGGATCCAGATCTCAGGCCCCTCCTAGCACATCACAATCTATCACTTCTGCCTTAATTTCCCCAAGTTATGAAAAGCCACGGCCTATTTTAGTCTGGGTGTTTTAGTGGAACAGAGAGATCTGAGTTTGAATCTCAGCTCCACTGCTTATTAGGTGTGAAACATTGGGGAAAGGTAAAATGAAAATGTGTGTGTGTGCATGTGTATGCGTGTGTGTGTGTGTGTTTATGTTTATATTTATATTTATATATAATGCCCAGGGTTTATATATAATGTTTAGGATCATCAGACTGAACCTCAGAGCTGAGTACGGACATACTATGGGGGCTGCGTTAGTACTAAGCAAAGTATCTGTAATTGTTGAATAAGAACATATGGGAAAAGATGTCAACCGAGTTTGTAATTGAGACCAAATGATGGATTGAAGCTGGTCTGCTGCGGTTTTCAGTCAGTTGAATAGTGTTAAGTGGTGAGAAATCAAACCATAAGAAGGGCACAGGAGGGCGGGGGGAACCAGAGTCCAAAGAACCTGTGCCCCTTCTTCCCACATCAGTACAATGGTCACAATGAAGAGAATGGTGCCACTTTATGAAGGTCATTATTATTATCTGTCAAGTTAAATTAGTGTCGTTGAATTCAGCATTCTTAGCATTGTAAGCCTGTTTGCTTTGAGTTTGTCAAGTTTTCTAGTTTTATTATATAAGAACTGCAGTCGTAAGTAGCTTATGTCTCATTTTGTATTACATGTTTAAACAACATTATATACAAGATTAAGCAAGAAATTAGAGAAATAGAGGGTGTTTTCTTTTTCAAGAACTATTCTTACTTTTTTTTCTGGGCATGAAAAATGCTTGCTTGTCCAGTATGAGTAAAGAAAAACATAAAAATGTAAAATTAAAAGAAATTAGTAAAAACTCTATTATCATAGGTTGGGATTTGAAACATCACCATAAATTCATAATGCTAGGGCACCTGGGTAGCTCATTCTGTTAAGCGTCTGCCTTCGGCTCAGATCATGATCTCAGGGTCCCAGGGTCGAGTTCCGCATTGGGCTACTTGCTCAGCAGTGAGCCTGTTTCTCCCTCTGCCTGCTGCTCCTCCTGCTTGTGCTCTCTCTCTCTCTCTAAAACAAACAAATGAATAAAAGAAAATACATTTATTTTAGAGAGAGATGGCATGAGAGAGCTAGGGGAGGGAGGGGAAGAGGGAGAGAATCTTTCAAGCAGACCCCCCACTGAGTGTGGAGCCCCCTGAGGGGCTCAGTCTCACAACCCATTAGATCATGACCTGAACTGAAACCAAGAGTCAGAGGCTCAACCAGCTGAACTACCCAGGGACCCCCAAAATAACAGTTCTTAATTCACAGTGATGTGAATGTAATCACATCATAGATGTTCATAGCAGCATTGTTAAAAATAATAAAATACTAGAAACCATCTAAATCTTAGAAAATAATATGTACTCACATGAGAGTGTCATTTAAACCTTGTTGTAGAAAAATAACTCATGATTTAGAAAATGTTTAAGATACATGATTAAGTAAAAATATAGGTTATAAAATATCATGCCAATAGTATATTTCAGTTTGGCCAAAATAATATATGTATAAATATGGAGAG